GTGGCTGATGGCTAACCAACGCTACTGTATAGCATCCCAATAATAATAATAATAATGTAACTTTATTTATATAGCAACAGAGTTAACACAGTTCTTTGACAGACGAAGTAAAACATTTTTGTTGTGATACAATTTTTTTTATTAAATATAGAAATAGGTTGCGACAAGACCTGTGCTTTAAAAGTGATATCCTCCAATAGCCTCTAAAAAAAGAGATAAATACAAATACAAACATTTACCTGAGAGATAGAAACTGGAACCAGATTCTCCAGCATTTTGTTGCATCATGTAACGAGTGATGAAATGTAATAGCTAATGTTTTGCTCGCAATAGCTAACTTAAGATGCGACTATATTTTTAACCATCTTTAAAATGTGGTTGTCTTTCTAACATAGATTAGCCTAGCATGTAGCATTTATAAGTACAGGAAAGGAGGAAGTTGACCGAGGCTTGCTCAACTGTGATTGAGCACAGAGCAAAAAGGGGCGGGGCTTATGAAGAGTCAACTGAGCCTTTTGAATAAAAGTTGTTATATTTACTCGTACGTTATCTGTAGGATTCTCATTTCAGATGAGCTCAACCATGAAATAAAATAAATTTGCCTAAATAATAATAATCTGAATAAATGTGAACTTTTGTTTGTTATTTTATACTTTAAACACCCTCAGTATCTCTAACATCCTAACTATGATCCTGACCTGCTTCAGTCTAAGGGGACGTAAAGATGTTGCTTTACAGTCCGATTTTACAGTCCGGCCACAACACGACTAGCAGTCCTTCACCTGATTACCCCAGAGTTCACTCCAGAGGATGAATAATTCACGTCTTTATGCGTAAATAACATTAATAATGCAGCACACAGCACAGAGTGAGAATACCTCCACACCTCGAGTGGATTACAGACACTTACAGTGTTTGACGAGGCAGCAGGTAAAACACAATCTACGTTTCAGAGATGCCACAAATGTGTTTGAATTGGCTTCATCCCACAAAAGAAGAGTGATGAGCTCTGTGAGAGGTGACTGAGAGCAGGAAGAGATCACTCCTTCGTGCTCTTCATCTGCTTCAAAGGAGAACAAATTGTGATGAATGACTCTGGCTGAATGTTTTCTGGCTCCTCTGTGGCTCAGATCCGCCCTAAAGTAAAGACTAATTAGAGGATATTTATTTACTCCTTAACAAAAGTTTATAATCAGATTTGTTTTGCCGTCACCGGTTGATGATTTTTTATGTTTTCTAATAAAAACATTGATCGGAGCAGGAAAGCCTGAGGGAGGGGCAGAGTTTGACAGCCTGTCTCATGTAACCAAAAGACTTTGATCAAACATAAAAAGACACTTTGAATAACAAAGAACCTTCTTTTTATCAGAGTTTTATTCTTTGTGCAGAGATTTCTTCCTCGGGCTCAGATTTCATCACTGTGGATGATTATTACAGCGCAGTGACGTCTTTAGGGTGTTTGTGTCGTATGTTTTTACTGCGATGTTACAGCAGCCGGTTGTCTCTGCCCCGAGCTGCTGTAAGTCAGTGCAGGTGGGTGGAATCAGTCGCGTTCACAACAACCTGCATTAAACACCCAAACAGGAAGAACTTATTGATTATTTTACATTTTGTGTTCAGGACTGCAGCTGAGTCAACAGAGAGAGTTTATCTGTTCAATCTGCTGTTAGATTCTATGGAAGCTAATTTCTGCCAAAGTGACGGAAAAAAATATACAAAAAAAGATTCAGAAGAAGTAATTTTAATGAGAAAGTTTCTCTAGAATCTTAAAATAATGACTTTGTGATACTAAGTCAACATTATTGAAAACATTTGTCATTATATTGACTTCAATCAAATTGGCAGAAATGGTTGGTTTGTTGATCTGATTGGTTAAAGTTCAGGTGGTTCATCCAAACACCTGCCGAGTTATATTCGGGTCGGGTTAGTTCGCTAGCTCGTTAGCTAGCTAATTAGCTTCTATTCAAATAATCAAATTATCTGGATGTATAAAATCCTCTTAAAGCCTGAGCGAGTTTTAAGCTGCCTACATCGCCTACACAGATATAAATGTTTAAACTGTTGTCAGTATGGATTCTGCACATTCTCCTAATTTTTTACATTACATTTAACATTCATACTGGTTTATCCGAGGTTTTACAGTAATTTTACTTAAGACTTCTGAAATTAATTCATTTGAGCATTATCACTCACTCCATTCAGACTTGATTCATGTACCTCAGTAATAATTACAGCCACAATAACCTCCTGTTTCTTCTCCTGTTTCTCCTCCTGTTGCTCCTCCTGTTTCTCCTCCTTTTAATCCATCCTTGTGCTTTAAATCGGATCTCTGAGTTTTTTGTTTGTCCTTCGACTTTATTTTTAATTGAACAAACAAACTTCTGTATGATGGAAAACAGTCCAAACAGCGGCGCTGACAAAGAGGCTCAGTTAGCAGATTCTGGTTGCTATAGAAACCGAGTCTTCAGCTAACTAAAGTTGAACCGTTTTTAACAGACGAGGTCTGAAACAGTCGACTTCATTGTGAATAATTAATGAGTACGTTTCATTGGTCGAGATAGATTTTGACACAAACGACCACAATAAGAAATGTAAATATTATTAATTAAAAACAGCTGTAATTTTTAAAAACTAAAACAGAGTAAGTTGCAGAGATCCCGACACATTGTCTTATATATATAAAAATTGTAATGCATAATAATAATTCTACTATAAAGTTTAAAAAGTCTAAATGTAAGTTTAATAAAACACATTTTCTATTAAATATTCCTATTTTGTAAACTGTCTCTGAGTTTCACAAAGATCTTCAGTGAAGCAGAAGCTCACGTTTCCCCGCCAAAAAGACTCAATACAACGACGATGACGTCTCAGTGTTACTGCACGATGACAAGAAATGTACATTAATTCAGTTGTTTCGTGTTTCTTTGTTTCATTTTTTGTCTTCTGTGAATGTTTCATGCTACTTTGTGATAGTAACGAGATGTAATGCTCTCAAACAGGCAACAACTTTCCTCTTTCACATGCGCAGGCAGTCCGCCATGTTTTCAGCATCTGGTAACGCTTTTTGTAGTTTGTTGATACCTTACAGCCACCGTAGTTTAGCGTGTTAGAATGCAAACAGTTGCTAATTGTAAGTAACAGAAAAGTCCAGCAAGGGCTAATGGTAATGTGATTAGATCTGCAGGTATTGGGTCCTAAACTAAAGTAATGTTGACTTGATGATGGCGCTAGATGGAAAACTTATCAAAACAATAACGTTGTTACAATTCATTTAAATGTATTGTAACCTCAAACTGTTAAAAGTAAATGTGAGAAGTAAAAAAAGAGACTATGAGGCAACTTTATTTGTGAAGCACATTTTATACACCGGGGCAATTCACTGCTTTTACCGGGCAATAAATGTGCACAAAAGTTTACACATTTAAGTGCAAAAGTACATGTAAGTGACACAAGACATAAAATATAGAAAGTAAACAAGTGCAGTTTAAATCGATGGAAATAAAAACCAAAATATTCCCACATAGATGCAAAATGTATTTAAAATTAAAACAAATAAAAACAACAAATTAACTTAATTAAGATTGGGAACTGTTTTTTAACTATACATATAAAGGTAACATTAAAATACTCGTATGACTAAAGTATGACTAAATCTGTAATAAATAATAAATTCACTGTACTTTCCACCTCTGTGTAACCACTAACATCTCTCTGGGTTTTCCCGCCTACGTTCTGTGCATATCGGACTCGCTGGAGCAGGACTGAAGCTGCTGCTGCTGTTTCTGATGTAGAGCCGGTGTTTTGGAAATAAAATGCAAATGATGTGAAGTGTCTCTCAGACAGCAGCTGTGATACTGACATCCATTTCATTTCATTTCACTCACTTATGGAGGAGAAATAACAGCAGCTTGTTGCAGCTTCCACAGCTCTTCCATGAGAGCTGACAGGAGACCCTCAACCCCCCCCAACATAAGTGATATAAGACCCTCAACCCCCCCAACATAAGAGACATAAAACCCCCAACCCCCCCAACATAAGAGACATAAAACCCCAGACTGAAACAGACCATTAGATTACAAGCCACGTTTTAAACCTTTTGTGGTCGTTTGTTTTTTGTCTCTTTGTTGCGAGTTTCCATCAGCGTGTGGTTGTTTTGTGTCTCTTTGTTGCGAGTTTCCATCAGCGTGTGGTTGTTTTGTGTCTCTTTGTTGTAGTTTTTTTTCTCTTTGTGGTATTTTGTGTGTCTGTGGTCGTTTGGCATCTCTTTGAGGTAGTTTTGTGTCTTTTTGTGGTCTCTATCTAGTTTTGCATCTTGTTGTGGATCTCACTTTGTCTCACTTTACTTCCCTTTGTGGTCGTCCATTTGGACGTCTCTTTGTAGTGGTTTTGTGTCTCTGTGTCAGATGCTTTATGTGCTTGTTTGCAGGAGACTGACTGACTGACTTTCTAACATTAAACGGAAACAGGCCTGTTCGAGTGCAACAGAAGCTGAGCAGGATGTGGGACAGACTCAGTGTGCTGGTTGATCTCACTGTAGCTTACAGTGGATTATAGTTTAACATAAAAATACAATATGTTATGTAAGCTGTGTTTGTTGGTATTTATGAGAGCTGATGCATATAAATACATATTTGTTCTAATCCGTGTGAATCATATCCTGTACATATCGTCTTCTATAAGAACAGCAGGTTGTGTGTGTGTGTGTGTGTGTTATTTGTATGAACATGTTTGTGCCTTTTTGCGCCGTATGTTTGCATGGTTGTAACAAGCCCTGACGAATGTGTTTGCTCTCCTTTTAAGAGGATTTTCCGTGTTGACATGTGATGTGTTGTGTTCAGATTCATGTGACAGGTGCTGCTCCACTAAATTGGATTTCCATCTCCTGAACGCATGGTGTTCCTGAGATATCTCTCTGTTCCCTTGCATGCTTTCAATTTATCCTGACAGATTCTCAACAATGTCATTTTTCCTGTCTACTGAAGCGCTGGTCATAAATCATGTTTTTTTAAATTGTCTCTGTCCTCTCTGTGTGGTTTCAGCTGCTCTGGGAACGCTGGAGTTCGAGCTGCGGTACGAGCAGAGCTCCAGTGAGCTGCACTGCACTGTGCTCCGGGCCAAGGTAAGGACGCTTTCCGCACCACAGGTATTAATGTGTCGCTGCGTCAGCCTCCACTCCTCCGGTTCCAGGCTTTCCACCAGAAGCCTGGCTGCAGGGATTCGTTCCCTTTCAATCCCAAATGCTTTCAGTATGTTTCAGATTAACAACAGTTTTGTCTTAATATCACTGTGTGCTACAGCGTTATATTTATCTTTACTGCAACGAAAGAAACCAAACCATTTGCACCAACGAGGATTCATGTAAACTGAAATAATGCTTCTCTTTTAAGCCATAATCTGCAGGAAATATCAAGAATAACAGGACACTGAAAGAAACTCACACACACAGGTTGTAACAGCAGAAATGGTTGCCTAGATACGAGAGAAACGCCATCAGACTGAGCCCAACCTGTCTGGAGTTGGTTGAGTAGTACACCTGTTGTGAATGGATGCTGAGCTTTTGCCTCTCAACTCAACCGTATTGTTTGGATCACGTATGATCGAGTAGCAGCCGTACAACCGGGCTCGATGCGATTGATGTGTTAGTAATAAACAACGAGTACTGAGGAAACCAGCGTGGCTGTGTCTTTGACCACTCTCTTCAGAGCTGATGGCGCCCGTTCTAGGCGCTCTGAGACTACTCCGCGTAGAATATGCACCTATCTATTTTTTATGGAAGCTGTAACTCACGTAAGCAGCACAGAGCAGATCACACTGACAGGAAGTCAGACACAGATTTAAATCCATCGATTATCAAAATAAAATGCCACGTACAGACTCCAGATCGAATTTCACTCTACATCAACATTGTGGCACCAGACAGGAAGTCAGTAATAACTTTTAGAGGCTTCAGTATTAAACTGAGACTGTTTGTAACCAGTTGAAAACTCCTTTTAGTACCTTAGTGAGTCAACATCTGAATACTTCCACCACTGGAATCAGAGATGTAACAAATTCAAAAGCTGCCATATGGATCCAAAACTGCAGATTGCTCAGTTGAGCTTCTGTGTATGTAACTTCATTTTCCAAGTAAACATCCTTATAAACAGGCTTGTACCTTTGACTTGTTATTAAAGAACTGGCCGTTGTAGTTCCTGTAACACCTCACAGCTGCAGAGTCAGCCTGCGGTCTCCCACCAGGAGTCCAATCCAGCTTTATGTGAAGCTACTGGGATCAAATAAAAGTGTCTTTGGGACTCTCTCCACCAGGACGACAGCACAATGAGAAGATATTCACAAAGATTCACAGGTGTTTGTAACATTATTCAGAGCAAACTGCCACACAGGAGACTAATTTAAGTGTCAGAGAGCATAAGGACTATAAAGAGACAACAAGTTGCACCACCGCAACTCTACACTCAATTCAGCAGACGGCTGATATAACCGACTGTCCTCAGTGCGCAGGTATCTGTCATCATCCAGGAGGTTCAGCAGTGATTTCTCTCTCCAACAAACTCTTCTCATCACTTCCTCTTCGCACCAAACCCACACAGTCTCACTCTCAACTCCTCAAATACAGCCGCTCTCTCAGTTCAAAATCTGTAGGTCTCCTCTGGTGGCACTTCTGGATGTGCAGGGTGAGGTTATTATAGTGCACCAAATCTAAAGTAGGAACTAAAACTACTGTAGGTGTGAAAAATACATTTTAGTCAACTGAAATAAAAAATAAAACGTAGACTTAGTTGACTTTTGGTCAAATGTTTCAGCAGAGTTCATATTTATTGAGACTACATGTTTGTATTGTTTTTGTATTTTAATACTCGTTATTTGTTGAAATCGGACCCCTTACAGTAGTTTATTTTCATAAAAGTAAAACAAAGCAATAAACAACCAACATTTGTATATGTTAGTAACTACTGTAAATTCCTTCCCTCCACAATCACAACCTCTCAAAACAACAACAATAATAATAGTGCAGAGTTACTAAATAGGTAAATAAGTAAAAAAGGGTAAATATAGGCGTGTTTGTATTGTAATACCTCTTCTGAACTTTTTAATTCTTGACAAATACCCCCCATATTATCATAAAATAAACACTGAAATGGATCAAAACTGAATTGAATTGAAAACAAAAATTAGTTTGAAAAAAATGTCTGTTTTGTTTGTTTTGTTTTTGTTCACTATTGGCCTCACACGGGGCACCAGCAGGGTTAAAGTCCTGTTTGTTTCCATCCATCCACCTCCGTATGAGGACTTTCTCACTCTTTAAACTACATCACCTGACGTCAACGTCCAGAAATGACACTAGAGGGATACCTACAGTCATATTTTGAAGCGTAGGACTAAGTGGCAGTATTTGACAACCAACATCCCAACATTTAACACCTGCTCTGGGACTCAACAGAACAGGTCAATGTTCAGCAGACTGAACCAGACAGTTTGCTGACAGCAGTGCAGATTTACTATCATAAGACCTGCAGTATTTGTCCATCCTCTGTGTTTCAGTGGAATTTACTGACCAAATCGCACATTAATCTGTGCAGAAGACTGAAATGTCACAGCTCTGATGAGTGCCTCAGTGAGTCTGGATTTTCAGTGAAACACTATTATGGATTTTATTAGTATTTCACAACGCGGCCTCCATAATTCTCCACTCGGTGGAATAAAGTGAAAAAAATCAAACCCAAGTGATTTACAGAAGATGAGAGCAGATTTAATTTATGATCAGAGGAGAGAATCTCCAGGTGTTACTATTTCTCTTTGAGAGCAGCTTAAATTATAGAAAACACTATATTTCTTCTTAGCAGTACTACTAATGAGGGCTGAAAACTAAAGATTTTCTGAGCCGACTAGTTGTTGCACATTTATAGTATTCATTTAATGATTTAAAGCTCTATATTTTAAATCAAGTCTCAAAACACAGAAGGTGAGTGGTATTCAGTTGGTTGTAATCTACAACCTCACCACTGGTCCTTTAAAGCTGCAGTAAGGTTTTTTTTTCTCGACTCTGATTGGTTGTTTTCGTTCAGGCCCGGTGGATTCTTGCAAACACCCTTTGGAGCTCTAGGAAGAGCGAGAGGACCCTGGTTTTCACAGACTTTCTGTCTCATGTTCTACTGTGAGGATTCAGTGAAAGTTTCAGCAAATATGACAAAAAGATATTTTCATAAAAATAACCTTCTGCCTCTTTAAGCCTTTAAAACCTTCCTTCAGAACAGGCAGTTCTTCTCTCTGAGGTGATGCCAGGGGGAAAATGATTTACATTTAAGTAGCTCCTCAAATAAAGAAAACAGAGAACAGAAATCTCAGTGACAGCAGGTGCTCCGATTAGCTCCCATCCCCGAGATAATGAAGCAATTTAAACCTTACGTCTGTTTCTATCAGCATGTGTTCTGTAATGTTCTTCCTCTTTGTGATACTGTATATGTCTGTTGTAACAAAATACAGTTGCAGTGTGAGAAACATCAGATTATGTTTGTTTCATGATGATCTTATAGAAGAGTCACATTGTGGAGTAATACTGCTGCTTTTAAAGACACAAAGTCCAGGTTTTTATATGTACTTGAAGAAGCACATGTTGCTGTACTGAGACTGAACTTCTATAAATAAGACTTGAACACAGTCTACATTCACAGAGCTTTCAGTCTCTGATCAACAGCCTCGTCCTGCATTAGAAAACAACCAAAGAGCTGATAGAACAATGAAAAGAAAACTGAATCTGTAACTGAAGTCTGTATGATTGTTAGAAATTGTTTAAAATCCTAAAACCCCTCTCTGATCAACATTCACAGGAAATAATCAGCTCAAAATTCAGGCAAATCTCTGGTTTTACTCAAATGTCCTGCAGTTATTGTGTTCACTTTTTGTGTTCATTGTTCAGTTTATCAGCTGTTCTCTGCTGTTTCTGTTATGTATTGATTATAATATCAAATATATATAAAATAGTTTACGTTAGTTTACGTAACAATAGAAGAGGGAAAAAGGTTGGGAATTGTTTTACACCATTAAAAATAGTATAGGTTAGCATAGCAGATAAAACTGATAGCTGCTAACTTATAAATTTAATTTACATGATATTATAGTTGTGTATCTTTCCTCCATCACATGTAAGATTTAATTTTACACCCAACTGTCTATAAGGTCAAAGTCTGTTTCCTCAGACTCATTAAAAAAGCTGTTTGTGGAAAAAACATTACAGAAAAAAACATCACATCTTTGCAGCCGTCGCTGCAAATGTCAAAGCTGTTGAAAGAATTTAAGGAGCAATTTCTCACGATGATCTGTGTGCCGCTGATGAGGTCAACAGATTGAAATCAAGTGTTACGTTTGATCCGTTGGCCGCGTGAGAATCCTGCTGTCTCTTTTAGTCTTTATGCTCCTGAATCATTTAACACACACATCAGTGAAGAAGATCTGTGAGCTGAGAAAAGGTCAGGAATTGATTGATAGAGATCTGATTACACAACGGGGGGCTGCGATCTGTTTATACTAATGGATTTATCACAAAACATAGTAAATACATAGAAAAGTTAATAACTTAATTAATTAAATAATGTAAAGATGTAGATATTGAACATTTACCAGGTCCCCTTGAGTTAGCTCACCTGAATCACAAATGCACACTGTAAAAAATGTCTGTAAACATTGACAGTAAAAGACCGTAAACTCTAAATAGGTTTCAGTTTCTGTAACAGTAAAACAACATTATACTTCATGACAAAAACTTTATTTATACAGCATTTTAAATGAATTCATACAAAATAAAGTCGTTTTTTATATGACAGATTGTAATTGTACAGAAAACCATCATCATATCTCATAGCAAAACCTTTTTTATGTGGCAAAACTGTTTCCTTTAATTATAAAAACTTGTATTTATATACTAAAATATGGAATAAAACTCCAGCTTTAACCATAAAATCAACAGTATAAATAAACTTTTACTGTAACAGCAGAAAGGTAGTTTGTTTTAATATTTTTTACAGTGCAGTCACTGTCAGTCGATATTTAAAGTGAACTGTTGTTGTTTTGTTGTTTTTGTGTACAGGGCCTGAAGCCGATGGACTTCAACGGTTTGGCCGACCCGTATGTCAAACTGCACCTGTTGCCTGGAGCCTGTAAGGTGAGACAACCATGTTATTATCAGCTGTTGTTATTGTAAAACTTCAGTAAAAATGCAGTATTAGTTTTAGGTTTTTATTATAATAAAATAATGGGGGTATAAGTCAGAATAGGTATTACAATTGTTCCCTCGTAAGCCCCGCCCCTTTTTGCTCTGTGCTCCAATAACAGTTGAGCTAGCCTCGGTCAACCAATGTTCAAAAGACCATATTTCGAAGAGCAAAATCCTTAACTAGCTAACCAACAATTGATGTAAATAGTTAGTAAGCTAGTGTTTTGCGCTATAGTATAAGCTTCCAGATGTAGCTATATTTAAAAGACAACCACATTTTGAAGATGGTTAAAAGATAAGAGAGACATATATAAATACATATAGTCACATCTTAAGTTACCTAACGTCAGGAAAATAACTAGCTAATGATGATGTAACTTAGTTAGCTATAGTTAGTTCGTGTTTTGTTCTGTAGCAAATCAGCTAGCCTTTTTTCTAACATTAGCTAACTTGTGACTATATATGTCTCTTTTATCTTTTGGCCATCTTCAAAATGTGGTTGTCTTTCCAACATAGATTAGCCTAGCATATAGCATATCTAAGTACAGTAAAGGAGGAGGGGTCAATACACACACATTGACTCACAGTCTCAATAAACAGATGCACCAGTGCCTCCTCATGTTTGATGTGTTGACCAATTAGATGAAAAACAAAACATAAAGACATTTCCTGTATATTTTTATTTCAGTTTGTTTTGTTAGGTACGAAATATTGTTTCAGCTAGTTTTCAATCTTTTTTTTAAAGTCCAGTTTGTGTTTTTTTAATTTCAGTTACCTAAAATGTTTTTAGTTTAGTTTTAATTAGCTATAATAACCTTGGTTTGCAGTGGACTGACTGAACAGTGTGAATTCATTTGATATCAGCAGAGTTCATTTGAAGTCATGAAATTAAATTGTGGACGTGTGGAGCTAAAGAAAAAAAGAAACAAGATT